TAAGCTAATTTTTGCAGCTTGGCCAAACGGGCTATAAGACCTAGGGAGAGCACAGAGTCGTCGTGGAGACCGGAGATTCGACCTAAGGAGGCAATAACACACTAGGAGCAAGGCGAAGAATTCTTCTACGAGTTTTTCACTTCCTTCTTCCTATTTCCATTATTGGTTATGAATTCTAGTATTGTAATTATGCATACTATTATGAATAGCTAATTTGTTATCTAGGATTTTGATGGAACCTATTGGAGGATGATTTTCTTGTTACGTTAATATATATTTGCCGTAGTATTTTCTCTATTTATTCAACTACGTTATTATTGTGGTAGGTTGAAGTGCTCTCAATCGACTGTGCCTATTTAGTGTGTATTACTCGGGAGAGAGTGCATATTTAGGTAGTTGTTGAATAACATCACTCCTAACGTATATGAGGGATCAATACAAAGGGTTTAAAGGTGGGATCAGGGATAACGAAACTTTGGTGCGATCCGAGTGAGCCGTACTTAATGCCAGCTAGCATGATTCGGGAGAATATGTCTAGTAAATTGTGGTAGTTACTCGGGAGAGAATTATGACACTCAGAGGGCTCATGATCGGTAGAGAAGACTTAGGCAAATTTATAGAAAACGTAGCGGAAAGGATTCCGACAACAGGGGAAATCATAACTCTAGACCTCCTTAATCTTGTCTCCAATCCATGTCCTTGTTAATTGATAGTTTTACTGTTTTCTAGTATTTGTTAGTTAATTAGATAAAAATAAATATTATAATCTTTATAATTAGGAAATTATTGGACTTATGTTTCTTAGCGATATTGAACAACTACAGTTAAGCCTTAGTTCTCTGTGGGATTCGACTCCGGACTTGTAAACCGGATTATATTTGCAATGACCGCTTAGTCCTTTTTATAAGGCATAGTTGGGCGTGATCAAATTTTGGCGTCGTTGCCGGGGAACTAACGGTGTAGCTGTAGGTGTACATATTGCTAGGTTTCATGTTTGAACTTTTATTTTTATTTTTTTGTATTTTATTTTTATTTTATTTTTGGTTTATTTGTTAATTTTAAAAACATTGCATCTTGGATTCTACTTTTTAATCCTCCTCGTGCATATTGTGAAGGAAACCACCCATTACAAAACTGTCAAAATATTCCCAAAGCGAGTTGTGTGCACCAACTCAATCTTATGTTTGGAATATGTGTGATATGTGTGGTGGTCAAGATGGTCACTTTCTTGGTTGTGCTTATAATTCTTATCTTCCCCCAATCCCTTATTTTGATGGTTCTTCTTTTTTTTTTTTGTGAGGATAACCGGAACAAAGAACCTAGGGAAGCTGAGCTAAAGAGGATCAAAGATATGTTAAAGTGTCATATAGAGTAATATGATGATAAACCACGGCATATACATATGCAAGAGGCAACTATTCACAACTTGGAGGCTCAAGTGAATAAATTAATTGATCATTGTAAAGCGCAAAAAATTGACATTGTGGATAGTAGCCAATATGAGCATGAATTGGCTGCAGAAATTGCCATTATACTGGAGGATTTAAAAAAATACGAGGAGATGCTAGTGGAGAAGGCCAGAGTAGAACACCAACAATCAATCGAACTAGATTTTGAGGATGCCGATGTTGTAGAAGAAATACTAGAGTCAACCAAGGACATTAAGGATACATATTTAGTTGACTCTAGTGTCATTGATACTGAGGATGTTGACAATCCCAATGTTCATGTAGTTGAGCGCATTGGTCCACACTCCAAGCATTTTTTCACATTGTGTCTGGATGATGATATGGAAATAGAGTCCTCTGAGCCACTTGAGGAGTCAAGGGATGAGGAACGAGGTGCCTACATTCTGGAATTTTTCTTGCCAGAAAATCAGGATTACACACCTCATGTAAAGGCCAAGAAGTGCAGAATGCTACATTGGTTTCTTGGGCCAGTTAAATTTGTTCCTCCACCCCTGGAGCATAGCCGAAAACTTGATGCCAAATTGGGGGTCCAATTCATAAGTTCAAAGTGGAGGCAGAAAGTGATTCGCGTCGTGCCGCGACATTAAATCAAGCGCTTGTTGGGAGGCAACCCAGCTTTACTGCTTTCTTTTATTTTATTTTATTTTATTTTTATTATAGATTTTTGTTAATTGTATTATTTTTGTAGTGTCGATTTTTGATTTTCTAGGAGCATGGAAAGCAAAGCTATTGGAATGATGCAACAACAAACCAAATGGTTGGAACTAAGTGTGAGGTACCCGCATGAAGGACCAAGCCTGGAGAAGTCTGAGTACCCCATGAGCTACTATTGCATCGAACTTTGGTCTAACAGGGAGTTTCTTCTACCCTCTTATTAATTATGGTGTGCATTGGGGACAATGCACAATTTGAAGTATGGGATGAGGAGATTGTCTGGGTGACTTTCTATGCTATTTTAGTTGTGTTAGTTTAATTGAATAATGCTTTTGTTTTAAAATAAGTTTGGACTATCCCCGACGAAGGATCTATTAGACAATTTTCTTGAGGGATTTAAGTCTAAACAAAAAAGAAGATTTTCTTTGTAGGTAGTGTAGTAATTCTCCCTTGGTTTTTTTTGTGCCGCGGTTCTTTTCCAAGGGTTTTGTTTGAACCGGGTGTAGTTAGTTTTATCTTTTTTAGGAGTAGGAGCTAGTGTGAGATGAATAGAATTGCAGTGATATCTCTTAAATTTGTTATGCCTTGAGAATAGTTAGTACTTTCGTTGTGATACTTAGGCTCAATTTTTGACTCTTTCAGAAGTACCTTAAATTGTATGACCTTAATTTGCTTAACTGCTTTGACTAGAGTGTCTTGATGACCCAATCTTGAGTGAGTCATGTGCCATGTGCGTGTGAGGTTTGTTGTATTCTATGCATTGCATTTGATGTCTAGAACATGCCCCGTGTGTTTGCAAAGCGAAATAGTAGTTTTGTTCAGTCTTGGAAGTGATATAGGCGTTTCTATGTTGAACCGGATATGTATATTTTACCCGCCTAATTGTTATGTAACGTAGTTAACCCCTTTGAGCCTGTAATCCTGTTTCTTTGGCAACCACATTACAAGTCGTACACCTCTGTTTGAATTAACCATCGATTTGAACCTTTTCACCTCTTATGAGCACTTGAATTGTAATAATTTGTAAAAGTTAAAGTGTTGGGCGGTTGGTTTGGCTTTTGAGTAGAGCTAATGAAATAAGGAGAACGGTGCACTGTGTTGACAAAAAAATAAGAGCCACTTGAATTGGAAAAAAGATGTATTGTTGTGGAAAAAAAATATTCCTTGCTAAGTGGTGACTCTTGATGTAAGTGTGCTTAAAGAAGTATGGAGTTAATATATATTGATGTGAAGGTGGAGTTATGGTTTGACATAAGTATGGGCTTGAATGTTAAAGTATATGTATTAAAGTGCTTAGGGAGATGTAGTCACTCTTATATCTAAATGTATTCTACCCGTCCCGCAGCCTACATTACAACCAAATGAAGTCCTACTTGATCCTAGACTGAATGAGTTCGATTAGTAGAGTAGTACACTACGGGCAAGCCTATGGTGCATCTTTTGTAGCATTTGAATGTTATTTCTAAGAGTATCTTGAGTTCCTAATTGCTCGTAAATTTTATTGTGTGTGTGGAACTACTCTCTTTTGTATTGTGAGGGCACTTGATTTATGAAAGAAAGGTAATGTCATTGACCTCTATGATTAGAGTAAGTGAGTGAGTGGTGAATAATGCATGGTACTTGCGAGTCAAATCTTGAGGTGGAGACGTTACACCCTTGTGCTTAGTCAATTTTAAAGATTCTTGGTGTGATGAGTTAGGAGAATTGCTTAAAAAGGTCGTGTCTATAAGTGTAGTTTGATTGCTCGAGGAAGAGCAATATTTAAATGTGGGGTATTGATGTGTGGCTATAATTCCATAGTTTCGTACAATATGTGCCTTGCATTTTACATGCTTTGATGATAAATTATACTTTATTTGCGCGTAATAGAGTCTATTTTATGTGTAGGTGAATTGGAGATGAAAGTAGAGCAAAATGGATACTTAAACGTTGAAAGTGCGCGCGAGAACAGTGAAAAGGAGAGGTCAGGCAAAAGCCGGTTCAACCAGGCTTTAGCCTGGTGAGGCCAGCCTAAGGCTAGGCTAAACCAGGCTTTAGCCTGGCGGGCCAGCCTAAGGCTAGGTCCAGTCCAAGTTTAGAAGACCTTATTCGTCTCCTGGTTTGACTAGGACTTAGCTTACACGTTTAGGTCTTTTCCTACACATATAAATAGACATAAAACGCCACTTTTGAAGGGGAGATCGAGTTTGGATACAATTTAGACCTAGGGAGAGCGCAGAGCCGTTGTGGAGATCGGAGATTCGACCAAAGGAGGTAAGAACACACTAGGAGCAAGGCGGAGAATTCTTCTATGAGTTTTTCACTTCTTTCTTCCTATTTTCCATTATTGGTTATGAATTCTTGTATTGTAGTTTTGCATACTATTATGAATAGCTAATTTGTTATCTAGGGTTTTGATGGAACCTCTTGAAGGATGATTTTCCTGTTACGTTAATATAGATTTGCTGTAGTATTTTCTCTTTGTTCAACTACGTTATTATTGTGGTTTGTTGAAGAGCTCTCAATCGAATGAGCCCTATTTAGTGTGTATTACTCGGGAGAGAGTGCATATTTAGGTAGTTGTTGGACAACATCACTCCTAACGTATATGAAGGATCAATACGGAGGGTTTAAAGGTGGGATTAGGGATAACAAAATCTTGGTGCGATCCGAGTGAGCCGTACTTAATGCCAGCTAGCGTAATTCGGGAGAATATGTCTAGTAAATTATGGTAATTACTCGGGAGAGAATTACGACAGTCAGAGTGCTCATGATTCCGACCATAGGGGAAATCATAACTTTAGACCTCCTTAATCTTATCTCCGCTAGGTAGTGATTTAAGATAAGCTATTATACTTACAAGTTTTGTCTTCTTCCATTAATGGTTGCCTGTTCCCATGTCATACAAGCATTTTCTAAAACACTGTCTCCCACAACCAAATCAAATACACTAATTTATTACTACTATTTTTTTCTCATTGAACTCTAATAAAGTCGTCGCTTTAGCTGAAATTTCTGAGTTCCAACCATGTCTTCTTCCCCTAAACTCCGCCATGAAAATGGCCCAACAACCACCTCAAAACCCGAATCTAAACCCATAACCGGAACCGAAATTGAGGCAGAGTTCTCACACCACGACCTCACTGTAGCCCGAATCAACAATGGCAGCTTCGGATCATGCCCGTTATCAATAATCTCTGCCCAACAACAATGGCAACTCCAATTCCTTAAACAACCCGATTACTTCTACTTCAACACCTTGAAACCCTCCATGCTTAAATCTCGTACCTTAATCCAATCCTTAGTCAACGCCGAAGATGTTGACGAAATCTCCATCGTCGATAACGCCACTACAGCCGCCGCAATCGTCCTCCAACACGTCACTTGGTCTTTCTTTACTTCCAATTTTCAACCCGGTGATGCCGCCGTTATGCTCCATTACGCTTATGGTTCAGTTAAAAAATCCGTTCAGGCGTATGTTGCACGCGCCGGTGGCAAGGTAATTGAGGTCCAGTTACCTTTTCCGTTATTGTCGAATGAAGAAATTATTACTGAATTTGATAAAGCTCTTAAAATGGGGAAAATTAATGGAGGGAAAATTAGGTTAGCTGTAATTGATCATATTACTTCTATGCCTAGTGTTGTTATACCTGTTAAGGAACTTGTTAAGATGTGTAGAGATGAAGGCGTTGATATTATTTTTGTTGATGGTGCTCATGCTATTGGAAATGTTGAAGTTGATGTAGGTGATATTGGAGCTGATTTTTATACTAGTAATTTGCATAAATGGTTTTTCTCTCCGCCTTCCGCAGCGTTTTTGTATTGTAAGAAATCGGATAAGGTATTGGATTTGCATCATCCTGTGGTATCGAATGAGTATGGGAACGGGTTGCCAATCGAGAGTGCTTGGATAGGGACGAGGGATTATAGTGCACAATTGGTTATTCCGGAGGTAATGGAGTTTGTGAACAGGTTTGAAGGCGGAATTGAGGGGATAAGGAGAAGGAATCATGATAAGGTTGTTGAAATGGCGGAGATGTTGGTGAAGGCGTGGGGGACAAAATTGGGGACGCCACCAGAAATGTGTTCGAGTATGGCCATGGTGGGAATGCCTGCCTGTTTAGAGATTTCTAGTGATTCGGATGCTTTAAAGTTGAGGACTCATTTGAGGGTTTCGTTCAAGGTTGAGGTTCCGATATATTACAGGGCGCCATTGGAAGGGGAGGTAAATTCGATAACAGGTTATGCTAGGATCTCCCATCAAGTTTACAACACAATCGAGGATTATTATAGGTTTCGAGATGCCATTATCAAGCTTGTGAACGATGGTTTCACTTGTGCAGTTCTCTCGAATTGACTAGGTGATTCTCTCTTTCAATGGAAGAAAACATCTTTTTCCAATTCCTTACTGATTGGAAATTGTTGTATCCTTTGACTGTTGATTAAAACTTGATGTCAAATTTAGTTCCCTGTTTAGCACTTGCAATGTGAATATTAGCTCTTTGTTGTGACCATATGGAATCATTCTATACAAAACTAACTACTGTTGAAACACCAACATTGCTTCTGATGAAGATATCTTTTTTATCAAGATCTTGAAGGGGGACCTTGGAGCAACGGTAAAGTTGTCTTCGTATGAGTTATATGTCACGGGTCCAAGCCGTGGAATCAACCACTAATGGTTGCATCAGGGTAGGCTGCCTACATCATATGCCTTAGGGTGCGGTCCTTTGCTGGACACTGTGTGAACGCGAGATGCTTTGTGCACCGGGCTGCCCTATCCTTGTGTCTTTCGCATTTGGCACAATGAAAATTAACTTCTTTCAAACTGGGAGCTAAATTTTGCTCAGACATTGAATTTTGGATTATTCCAGAAAATTTGAGATGCTTGTCAAGTACAATGGATGAACAATAAGGTTAGTTCTCAGCTTAAGGAAGTGTTGGTCTGCAGTAAAGTAGGGTATCAGATTCATTTGCTGTATATATATTTTATGTGAACCAAATTTTAGTGGAAGCCATTTGCAGAATGTAATAAGTTTGGTGAAATAAGTAGGAGGATTATAACATTAAAGGCATTTTGCTACGTTTTAACTCAATTTACAGCTGCATTTTGTGTATATATTGTGATTTTCTACCACAGATTTCATAGGGTTTCAGGTGCCTAAACGAATTTTTTTTACTAAAGTAACTTGACTTGAGCGGATTCTCATTTCAGAAATGAGAGGCTTACTATCTCCGTTTCTACTTAAATGCGGTACTATTTTCCTTAAGAATCACCTAATTATAACCTAGGAATTTAAGGTTGGATATTTTCTTAATTGAAGTATAATTACTTGAAGGAATAGGCGCTTTTGCAAGGCAGGGTTTTTGGCAGAAATAGAGCAGATTTCGTCATTAATGGCTTTGGCTACCAAATAAAGAATTAGAAGACTTGGCAAATAGAAAAAGAACTATTTTGGCCCTTTCACATCAAAAAGAATTCTAACTGCAACGGGTGTTCAAACTGAATCGGAAAACCGCACCCAATCGAAAAGTCAAATCAAACCGATTAAAGAATCCGATTAGGTTTGATTTGATTTGATTTGGTATTGAGTAAAAAACCCCGAACCAACCCGAAATATAAAATATAATTTTTATATATGCGTTTAAGATTTTATATAGAATTTTCTTTAAAAAATATCTAGAAATATTTGGGATTCTCTCATGGGATGTAATATTTAATAGAACTATGAAGTGCATCCATATTTATTTACGTTAAATAATGAGTTTTATCGTCACTTTCTTATCAAGTGTTATTGAAATGCGTCAATCTCTTTGTTCTTTCACATTCATATGTCAAAATTTGTTAAATTCTTATACCTTTTTCGAATTTGAAATGGTAATTCAATAATTTTAAAATTAAATAGAACATATAATTATTTAGATTTCACATTGATTTTATGCTTAATTTTTAATTTGGTTAACATTTGGAAGCGTACATCAACGAAAATTTATTATTAGACAAACTAAGAAAATAACTATTATGTGTTACTAAAAAAAGTTGTCATATAAGAATATTTTAATAGATCATATGTTTGTCAATTTTTTTTTTACTAAATATATATTCACTTATCAAAACTTTATTTATAACTTTAACGAAGTAAGATTGAAATAACATTCATGTAACAAAAAAATCCGAGAAACCCGAAAAACCGGCAAAACCGAACCAATCCAATCCGATGTAGTTGGTTTGATTGGTTTTGATAAAAACCGAATCAACCCGATCCATGTACACCCCTACTAGCAGCTAATACAGCATGTTTGAATCAAATAGCTTTGGACGTAGTCCTCGTAGAATCAAATTATTTCGACCATCCATGGATATACTAAGGTGATAATTAAGATTGCATTAATAAACTTTCCACAATGAAAAAAAAAATCTTTTTTGCACATAGAGATTGGAAAAGTATGGATGGTTAAGAACTGGAATAAAGAAAGAAGTCTCTCTTGATAATTGTGGTAACAATCTCTCTAATTGTTTATATTAGGAAATTCATTTTGAGCAAAAACTATAACTACAGACAAACAATTTGTTGGTTAGCTGATTGACAGCAGTTTGAATACAAAGATTATCTCATAAAGTTTTACCAATTCATAGCTCAATCCCCTGAAGTAAAACAAAAAGCAACTCGGTGCACAAAGCATCCCTCATTCAGGATCCAGAGAACAGCCGCAACCAAAAATAAAATAAAATTCATTACATTGTTGTGTATAACTTAAACCCTTTATCAATTTTTGACTCCCTAGAGCCAATTGCCACACATGCATACAGTAAGAGGCAACCTATGCTAGGTAGAGGGGTCACCGGCACCCGTAAAATTCGACAAAAATTCATGTATGTCTTTAGAGAATAGTGATATATTAATATTCGGCACCCTATATACAAAGTACATTTTGGTTGAACCAAAAAGTGTACCCGCGACCTTCAAATCTTGGGTCCGCCTCTAAGTCAGTAACATCATTCATCAGCTACAATGTGGTATCATACAGTCACTCCCATAAGCTCTTAACTTTATCAATGTGCTTGAAATCATAAATCATCACCAGACTTCTATCCATTCTCCTCAACACAAACCTCTCAACCAACACATAACAACTGAATCTTCTCCATCTACTACTATTTTCTCTGTACTGTTCAACTTGTTTAATCCTCCCTTGATTTTTCCATCCACCTCGTTCTTGTTCCCACTTCATTCTTTGAACTATTTCTTCTCTCAATCCCACACTTGTCACTTCATTTCCATCTTTATCATAGCTTCTAAACCATATTACTCGTTCGACGACATTGTTATCGTCCCATGTTGCTTTAGTTCCAGCAATTAGGACAACTTCAGTGTCAAGTGCAACATCAACAAGTACTGAATTCCCTTCATTAATGTAATCATTTTGACAAGTGAAAAATTGCTCCCACCTTTGCTCAAGTGTCATTTCATAGAACATTGATCTCTTCATTTGTTCTTTAAGTAATACTATTCCATCTTTGATAAACATGAAAGGACAATACCATTTCCCTACAACAACAACTTCAGAACTTTTACAAGATGGTGTGAAATTGAATTCTGGAAGTTGTTGCCTCAATTCCGCATTGAGGCCTAAAGCATCATCATTTAATTCATAATTTTTAGGAGTTTTAGCACAAAGATGCCAACCTTTTCGCCTTAGAAAGTGCGGTGGGAATCCATCCGGTGCAAGAGACTTAGCGAAAAAGTTACCTTTGGCACTGCAACCTGTATCATATGGACAAATCTGAAACTGCTGATATACCTCCTCTGGATCTAATGGCTTCGGTTTAACGTCTCGTATACATTTACAGAAACAGCATGTTTGCTTGTCTTCCTCCTTTGAACAAGTAAATGCTTGTCTGCGAAAAGGCGATTCAGAAATTGTAAGATGAAGGAAAATATTAGTATATGTGGAAGTATTAGTTAGAACAACTCTTAATAACGGAATAAGATGCAACAACAGCAGAAAAAAAACCAAGTGAATTTCCACAAGTCAGGTCTTGGGAGGGTAGTGTATACACAAACCTTACCAGTTACCCTTACCCTACGAGGGCAGAGATGTTGTTTCCGATAGACCCTCGGCTAAAGAAAAATGGAATAAGATGCAACAACAAAAAATAGAAGATGGAGATTTGAATGTTAAAAATGGTTCGATGCACTGTACAGGGGGTCCTCAGAGTAGATTTCCATGGATACTCAGGTAAATTCCCTTAGTAATGGAATAAGATGCAACAACAACAACAACAAACCCAGTAAATTCCCACAAGTGGGGTCTGGGGAGGACAGTATGTACGCAGATCTTAGCCCTACCCTGCGAGAGAAGAGAGGTTATTTCTGATAGATACTCGGCTAAAGAAAAGATGAAAAGAAGCTGAGGCGACAAGCAGTAACAGCAGCGAGATGGAGATGCAACAACAAAAAATAAAAGATGGAGATTTGAATGTCCAAAACTGGTTCGTGCACCGTACAGAAGGCGATGTCCTCGGAGTAGATTTCCATCGATACTCTGTTAGAAATAGCAAAATGATGTCCTACTAACAAGATACAGCAAATCACTCACGAGTCTTCTAATATATACTCAAAGAAAAATTCTAGAGAACTCCTAATGTTGAGACTTTTCAACAATAGGCACATAAAAAATTTCACTCGCTCAATATGAAAACCAAACATAAGATTCATTACCTTGGTTTTTATCCAGGCAAAGAAATAAACCAGAAAATGAGTTTTGCCAGAATCAATTGCTGTGCACTCCAATTAATTAAAGGCAAAGACACAATACTAAGGCTGAACTTTGTTAAGTTGTTTTCTTCTAAATTTTGCAATCAAGAATCAGAAGATCATATTTATGTATTTGATACACATAATTAAACTATCATACAAGATTAAAAAGGGCAGCCCAGGGCTAGACCACAAGGGTCTATTTGTACGCAACCTTACCCTACGTTTCTGCAAGAGGCTGTTTCCACGGCTCGAATCCGTGACCTCCTGGTCACACGACAGCAACTTTACCAGTTACGCCAAGGCTCCCCTTCTATCATACAAGATTAAATGTGCAAATACAATAACATACCCCTTGTGTTTTCCATGAGGCTTCATAGCATAATAGTGATTGGAAGACAATGGCTTATTAAGAACTGGAATGAACATTACATCATCCCTTTGAATTCTCATGTTTTGATCATCACTACGAGTACGAGAGTTCATTGCATCGGTCCTTTGGTATCGAACAGTCAGCTTCTTGTTCTGAGGGAAAGGCAGGTCCATGACATCATAATTTTTACAAAGTCCAAAACAACAATAAGTTTCAGATTCCTCATCTTGAATCACTAAGTAACCTGAATTTGGACCTTCAGGAGGTAATGAAAGAGCATCTGGATTCTTTTGGTAGTAAGAAAGAGGCCTTGTTACATACATATTCAGGAAAAAAATTGCTAACTGTATTAATTTCTGTCTGGAAATTGTCTTTTTGAGGATATATATCATGTTAATAATCTTCTATTTCTATTGCCATATATTTGAAGAATAGTCAAATGCAATAAGATAAGATAATTAAGGCAATTCATTTGGCCATGTTGATAAACCTTTTCTTTGTTTTTCTTTTTGCCTTCTGTTAGTCTTAGGTTGACTTTCTGCAGCAATCCATATAGGCACTACCTTTAGTCCGGTGCACTAAGTTCCCGCTATGCGCGATTCCGGGGAAGGGCCGGACCACAAGGGTCTATTGTACGCAGCCTTACCCTGCATTTCTATAAGAGGCCGGTTCCACTGCTCGAACCCGTGATCTCCTAGTCACTGGTCCTACCTTTAGTATTTTAAGAAAATATGAGGAATTTACTCCAAGTGTGCTCCACATTTCTTGTGTTGAAGGATATAATGGAGACCATGATCTTGTTTACAATTCAAACTTCTCTAAAAGGACAGCTTGTCATATAGTCAAAGCTGAATAGCTTTATTTATTATTGGGAAACTTACACAAATGTCCCTAATAAATCTCAACTTACCAACCTCTAACCATTAGTCATAGACTTACCAAAACTAGCCAACAAAAATTGAAAAACCAAATAATAGGGTTCTTTCT